AATTCCTTTGGGATTAAATTTTTAAAATAAAACCTCAAATATTCTACAGTCAAACCCCGCTATAGTGAACCTTCAAGGGACCGAAATTTTGGTTCACTATAAACGGGAGTTCACTATATCCGTTACGCAGGCAATTTAACTAATGGTTCCCAAACTCCTCCCTTTTATTACACGTTATTCAAATAAATGACTGAAAAATATTACGTAGTAGCAAAAAATTTGTTATTTTTTATTACTCTTCGTCCTGCGTACAAAAAAAATAATTAGTAATCTTTAGCTGTTGAGCATTCCTCAACATCAGATATGGAAGCATTTCCCGACTCTCAGATAATTTTTCCTGAATTTCTGTTAGTCCACTTTTTAAACTTGTCTAATCTGCCATTCGAGCAAGCACATAAAAGTAATCTCATAAAATCGCTTAGCAAATTCATCGACATTTGTCCAGATACTGGAAGATTGCGGCTTCTTTGAATGCTGAACCACTTCAGTAATGCTTCTTCAACATCCTTGTGATCTGCTTTTCTCAACTTTTTTCTGCCATTTAAATTTTTTTCATGAGCAGAAGTTGTTAATTGCCTACTTTTCCATATGTTACGAACTGTAGATTTGGATAGTTTATATTCCCTGCAAATATCAGCTTGATTACATCCATTTTCAATTTTTCTGACTATGCCCATTTTATCATCAATGGAGAACATTTTGCGTTTACTGCTCGCCATAGTTAAATTTGAGACACTTGTTTGCAGGCTTTTTTTAACTGCACTGAGAGCAAAAAGGAGTTGAAATGAGGGCCTTATCAACACATATTAGTGTCCAACTCTTTGACCAATAATGAATAATTACTCATTCCCTCTGACAGAAAATGCATATTGATCCCACTGACACCTTACAGGTGCATCATCTGCCTGGGTTGGAAACATCTACTTGATTTGTTTAGGGATGGGAAAGTAAGATAAAAGAAGCAAACAAGAAAAAAATGCTTATCGCTACCTTCTCCACTATAGATGGTTTTAAAAATCGGTATATGTATTTATTTTGAAGTAGAAATTTCGAAATTATTACAAAAAAATGAAGAAAAAAATCAGTCGAAGACAGAAAAAAGTTCATTATATCCAACTTCATCGCTTTTTTGGTTCACTATATCCACAAAAAATAACATTATACGGGTATAGCAAGGCACGGGACCGAACATTTCGTTCACTATATCCGGGAGTTCACTATAAACCATGTTCACTATAGCGGGGTTTGACTGTATTTAAAATAATTTTAAAGTATTTTAAAGATATTTCAATTGAAACTGCAGCAACACAAATACTTTTATGTTTCTGAGACTTTTAAATTTTTTTAAATATCGAACTGAAGTTATATTTGTTATTTATCTGAGGCTTGAGTTTTGTGTTTCGTATTATATAGATTTGTTTTATTATTAATTAACAATAAAAATAGGTTAATTTTTAACACTTTAAAGCGTTTCCCTTTACGTGCCATAACTGAAATGTTCCTCACACTGTTTTTCACTATGGCTTAATTTCACCAGCTGATAAAAAAGCAATGTCAACTTTATTTTAATTTCAAACGCATGAGAATAGCCTAGAAAATATCTATAACAAACCCTGAAATAAATAGAAATTCAGGTTAAGTGCATTGCACTTAAGGTTAAGAGTAATGCTCTTGACAATAAAGTTATCATGATAAAAATTGACGAAAGATATTTTTAGATAATAGAATTTTATGTTTGAACTTACTTGAACTCCTAATCGAATATAGTTCGAATTGATAAAAAATTTATCAAGATTTCTTTATATTTTCTTTCATTTTCAAAAATAATAACACTAATAATAATGATTCATAATTAATAAAACGTTGCCAGTGGAAAATGTGACTTTATTTTTAAATATTTTTCCCACTAAAGTTTATTAGATTTTCTTTAAAAAAAAACACCTTTTACTGCAGGTTTCTTAAGATATTTTGAAAATTTTGCTTTAAAACATCAGAATTTTTTTTTTTGTAAACGTGTCCAAACTATTCTAAAAACTTGTTTTTAAAATTTTGATCTATCTTGATCGTTAATGCCTTTATCATGCTTTGGTCTCTAGAACTGATTGCTGTGGAAGTGTTTACTTTCTTGTAGGTAATATGGACAGATTTCTTAAGCCTCTTAAAGAAACTCAGAGGGCTTATTTTAAGCCTGTATTTTTCAGAATTCATTCTGAAGATATTATACGAATTTTCTCAACAAAATATTATGCGAGGTTAAAAATCTGTAGAGAATTAAAAGAAAGTTCCCATAGTGGTAGCTAATGTTTCTCAAGATTATTGAAAAATGCTTAAATTGAGTTTCCATTTGAAGAGTACAAAATAATCCCCGTTGTAATTTTTTGGACCTTGAAACTAAAAATTATTATTGATAGCCTAAAACATCGAAATTTATATCACTTATCACTCCATCACATTTTCTAGATCTTAGAAACCCTGTAAGGGTTTAATAAATGGACCCAATATCTTCAAATTTTCTTCAGAATTTAAATAAAGTTTTCAGATTATTTTTTCAAATGAGGAATATTTTAATGTCTCAAAAAATTAATCTAATTTTGGAATTTTTGTTATATCAAAAATATAAATAAATAAATAAATGAGTGTATAATCTAATTTCAGATAATCAAAAAACAACAAAATATCAGGTGAAAAAAAGAAGACATTTGGTCTATTGCTCTTCATTTGGCCAGATTTGCATTCGTTTCTATTGGTTTTTAAAACTAAAAAAAGCATTTTAAAATGAGTTTTTACACTGAAGGCAGGAAATCCCTCCTTAGTCCCTCACGCGTCAAGAATTCATCAAATATCTAATAATTTATTTTTACAAACGAGTTACCTGATATGCATAATATTTATGCAATTTATTAGATATACTGCTTAAACTATTCGTAATTTTATTCTCTTGTATTATACTTATTTAATAACATATATTCTATTCATTATAATATATTCTATTCAACAATTCTTTATTATACTAAGACTCGAAAGTTGCTTAAAGGAAAATTACAGTTTAATGGGACCCATTTCGAACAAATCATGGAGCATTGCTATTACAGCATGAAGTAACTGATTGCTTCTGAAATTTTTCGTTAACTCAATCAATGAATAAGCTAGAAATAAATTTTAAGTATATCTGCACGTACATTATGAAATTCTGAAAGCAGCAATATGAATTGAGAAATAGAGGGCAAAAAACAATACCAAAATAATCATTCCGAAATGGGGATATGAAATTGCTGTTGTTTAGGAACTAAAACTGTCAAAGCGAAACAATAAATGTGCCGTTATTTTTAAAAGTGGAATAAGTCCGCTTTTCCTATATCGAGATATTTATGGGTTAGCGTTTGATTGAATTTAAAAATATCGACAAATTATGTGTGTTTATTTTTAACACTATAATTTGATTAAAATTTGAAATGAAAAAATAATTATTGAAATCGTAAAAAGAAATAAAAAGCTTTTAAGCTCCAAATGAATTTATTCCATTTTCAAAAATAACGACTCTAATTTCAGGACTTAAAAACTCGGAAAAAAAGCTATTACATCGCTACTTTTACTGCTATTAATTACTTATCAAGTACATTTCTAATTTTGTAATCATTTTTGAAAACGCACAGTTTTAGAATTAACACAAGTTTCATGATTCTGAGGTGTTTTAATGGTCTTTTCTCTATTAAATATTTATTTCTTTTCTTTTTCCCTTCTTTGCGCAAAACTTAGTTTTTGAAAACTTTAGATTTCTTAACATAGACTACGTAATCTCGTTTAAATTTTGGCGCAGTGCTGACACTAATGGCTCTTATGTCACTGAACTAGGGCAAATATAACCTGGTTGGTAGGGCGTTGGGCCCATTTCCAGAGGTCATGAGTTCGAACCCCCCAGTCAAAGTCTCCCAGTGTAGTAAATGATGACTGACGCACGTTAAATCTGTCAAGTCACTAAGTCCTCTATGATCCCATGGAAAATTATACCTCTGGGGGTGCTGATCCAGGAGTTTTCTTATCTTCCGGATTGGTTCAAAATTACAAGGCTACGGAGTTGAGCATTTGTAGTCATAAACCCGAAATTGAGTCGGGTGTTTAACGACTGATATAAAAAATGGTGACGGGTGCACGTTAAATCGGTCAAAAATTACTCCATGTTCCCATATCAAATCATACATATAGGGGTACTGAATTGGAGATTAATCGTTCTTTGGTTCAGGTCAAAATTTCGATCTGTGAATGAATGTATGAATAGATATATGGATGGGTTCGCTTCGCCCTATGAACGGTTGTGACGAGTATGCTGCTAAAGTCATACTATTGACCATAGATGGCGCCACTGAAAAACAAGAAACGCTCCCTCTGCCTTAAATTCTCTTGGCTTCACCAAGCAGACTTGCTGGCTGGCAAGTGGCATTAGAAACAATTACAAGAACATATCATTAAACTTCACATTTAAAATTTACGATTGGAATTAAGATAACGAAAGATAAATTATAGCTTCTAAATGTATATCTAAGCTTCACTTGGTAGTGCCAAACCAAATTACTATGCATATACACCACTTTCATTGCTCTGCTGAAGCCATTCGAAAGTTAAGTGGATGCTTCAAGACCTTCGTGTACATATATTCAGATATTGAATGGAATGTCATTTGCAATAATTGCATCTTTGGAATGGGATGGGGTTGTTTTTTTTTTATTGAGTCCAATCAAATCCTTATACACCACAATTTCAAATATTTTAACCCCTTAAAGTGTTTTTCTGAACGCTATACGTGCTGAGAAGCAAAAGTTATTTTGCTTCCTGTTACTTTGTTTGATTTCCTTCTTTTGCGTCAGTGTTATGTCTTTGATACTTTTCTTTACATTGATTACGTATTAGCGTTTGAGTTTGGTGCCGTAAAGCCGCTTCTTGCTTTCATATTTTCAAAAACCTCTCACTTACTGAATTTAATTGTATCATTGTTTTATTTTCAGTATCTAGAGCTCCGATTCAATAAAACAGTGCGGACAATATGCTCGAGTATTTTTACGTTTCAAATGGTAAGTTTAATTTTCGTATTTTTTTTCTTTCGTGTTCATTACTTTTACTGATAAACAGCATTGTCTTCTATTGGGAGTATCTCTTTTTAGAATTTATTGTGTGTCTGATTTCAAGAACCATGATTTAGAGCTCGAAACCTACTTAATATGTAATATGCCTTACCAAAAAGAAATTGTGCAATAATTGAACAGAAATTAAAACGATGAGATCCAAACGTGTGCATAAAGCAAGTCTATGTACAACTACATATTTGCAGGGAGTAACTCACCACCTGTTCCATCTGGACAGGAAAAAAAATTGAATAAACAAAAAAGGAGGAAAAAGATGTTCTATCGAAATAAATTTACTGTTTATTATAGATAAAATACCCGCCATATTTATGTACTGCTCGAAATATGCAATGTTGCATAATAATCAATGTTGCATACAATAATTGAAACATGGTATATTATACTGAATAGTTTCACGTATATTACACCATGTTTCAAATATGGCAGTCTTCAATTCGGACATAGATTGAAATTTCTTTCTTGTATATACAGCTATATATATACTATATATTTTGTATATGCAGCTATATATAGCTTTTGTATATACTAAAGATAGCCTCTCAAGTTTTCTTCGGGACTAAAGTTATGTGAAAGTGTCAGTCATTTTATGACACGCAACCTATTATCAGATTTTACAATGTGAACGGATGCTTTGCCCTAGTAAGAAACTCAGCTTGGTCTACCGATTCTTTCTGAAAAAGTCAAAAGAGAGTTTCTAGAATTTATGGATAATCGGTAGCTTCCGCAAGGTTTTACAGAAAATCCACGTTATGCTTATCATCATAGCCAAAGCTTATTCATACTGTTAATGAATCTCCACCATACTGTCCTTTGGAGAAGATTTCCTCTTTTTTTCTCAGCTACTTTTTCATTTTATGTATCGTACCAGCAATTTTGAAATATAAAATAATTAAATTGTAGCTCGTGTTTAAGTCTATCCACAAGCAAATGCAAGTAGAAAAAAATGTATGACACCGAATTTTTTTTGCGTGATATTGTAATCAACAAGAACAAAAACAAGAGAATTTCTTTTCCATCATGACGGCTCATTAATTCATTAATTGTGTAGGAAGGCTTCATCAGTGGAGGAAATCTTAATCTAACCTCCCCCCTCGAGGCTGTACAATCGTGTCAGGCTGGACAATAGGATCGTGTTCGTGAGAACGTGAGTTCGAATCCCATGGCCAAAGAATCCTCGTGCATTAAATGGTGACTGGCGCACAAAAATCTGTTTGGGTCACAAAGTCCTCCAAGTTCTCATTACAAATCGATACCTCTGGGTGTACTGAATTGGAGATTGATTGTTCTCTGGTTCAGAACAAAATTGCAATCTGTGGATGAATGAATGGAGTATCATTGAGTCCCCCCTGTAAAACGGGTTGTGATGCGTGTGGCTGAAGTCGTATTTTCGCTCATAGATGGCGCCACGGAAAAAAAGGAAGCGTACCCTCTGTCTTAAAAATTCACTTTATTCCAAACAGACTTGCTGATTAGTATGGCATAAGTAGCAACAACAATAGTGGCTTTATTTTGGTGGGGCACTTGCATTTTTTTAGAAGATTTTTGCTTATTACGGAATTGATATTATAACAGGAAATTTTGTAAAATATCTAATAGCTTATATTTAAAATTTTATAATCCCCTAAAAATGTACAAATTTTATTCATTATTTCGTGAAAAACAATTATAAAATTGAATCAATTGGATCAAAACATAAAACTTTTGTTTTTTTCTTTTATCATATCAAAGTTTGAATCAAATAATTTTTTATTATAATAAAAGAAAAATTAAGGAGATTTTTCTTTTATTATAATAAAATTAAGGATTATAATAAGGAAAAATTAAGAAACCGAAGTATTAGTCAAGATATTAAATAAAGGTTACATTTCAAGGAAAGAAACATTTGCGAATCTATTTTCATGAAAAGGCATTTAAATTTTTATCCATTGAAACCCATATCACCCTTTAATTAATTTCATGTATTTGTTGACTCAAGTGTTTCGTAAAGAACTGTTACAAACAATGTTTGCAACATAAAGTTTGTTAAAAATGTTTCCCTCTGCCTGCTTAAATACGTCACAAATTAAAATATCAAATAAATAGTCTCGCAGACGTCTTTATAGACATTATGAAACTAAATAAAATGGAATTTTTGTGAGTTTTATATTATGGCTTTTGTCTGAACAAATAGATTATTACAAAGAATTCAGTCATTCGTTATTCAGTCATAACAAACATTATTTTGCACTAATTGTTTTCACAGAAATTTTAAATTTATTGCTCAGCTTTCATAAATAATAAATTATTCTATGAATGTATATAAAAATCCTATAAATTTTGCATATTAATTTTTTTAAGCTTAGTAATGAATTATTCAAACGCTGTTTTATAATAACATAAATATATGAAATAAAAATGAATGTGTTATAAAATCTTAAAATTGTTTCATTAATATCGTTGTTTAACGATATTTTGATTCGAAAGGTAAAAAAAAAAACATTTAGAATAATTTTAGAAAAAAAAACGCATTTTTTCTATGAGAATTTCTTAGATTTTTATTGTTTATATAATAAATTTCTTTCAACACTAATTTCTACACTTTAACTGATTAAATGTTTCGGTTTTAAACTAAAATGAATATGCATTTAAATGAAATGAGCGTTAATTATTATAATAATAAATATTATAATAATAAATATTATAATAATAAATATTATAATAATTGAAAAACCATAAGAAATAATATAAATATTCTGATAATCGAAATATGTGATGTCATTGTCCCCCTGATTTTTTTTTCAAATTAAGTAAACTAACGAATAAATAGAAAAAATATTACATGTAGCATAAAACTTTGTTACTCTATTCTACAACGTAGTTATTACAAAATGTTTTTAGTTAAATTTGTTTTTTGTTTTTTTTTCAATTTTATTAATAGTGCTAAAAAGTTGGTTTATGTCTATGTCTCAAAATGTAATTTTGAATCCTTTTTTAATTAAAAATTGTCCTTTTTTCAGGTTTTATATATGGCAATTGTTATGTATGCTCCTTCCCTCGCATTGTCCCAAGGTGAGTTAAATTTTAATTGTTTAATTGTATGTAAATTAATTAAACAATATCAGTCATGGAATAGAATTTTCTAACACGGTAAGAATTTTTAATTTTGCAATACCGAATATATTATACAGTGGAATTCTAAATCTATGTAAGTATAGGCTTTTAATTGTTTATTTTGTATTTGCTTAGCATGTAGCACTTCATAACTGCTAAGTAAGTAACACTATTATTATTAGGGTACTAAAACACAACATTTCTAAGAGACAATATGTTACATTTTTTATCAACTCAAATATAAGTAAAACATATATTAAATCTAAAACACATAACATTTTTGGAAACAACTTTGAAAAACTTTTATAAGATATAATTAGCATTATTGAATTGATAGAGTTTTGTTGAAATTTAAAGTAAAACAAGGTTGTTCTCAAAATGCTTAACTTATGGAACTCTGTCAGTAAATTAAAATTTTTTTTCTTACGAAAATTGTATTAAGTATTTCTCTTTTTGTCCATAGCTTATTTAGTTTAAGGAAAATTAAGCTCTTGAACTGGTGATTAAAATTGCATTAAGATCATTTAAAAAAAATTGTTTTCTTTTTTAGTTCAAAGCAATGTTATATTATGATATTTCATAAAATAACTAATATCTTATGGAGTTTAAGTAGTAATTTTAAATAGTCTTATGAATTTACTTTTTTCCATATCATTTTATAGACATTGATTATCAATTTAATCATGTTCTAATGTTTTTGTTTCAGTGACTGGGCTTCGAGTTTGGTTTTGTGTCTTATCAATTGGCATTGTTTGCACCTTTTACACTACTGTTGTAAGTGCGTTAATTTTTAATTTTGGAATAGATTCTTTTCTTGCTTTTGTTTTTTTCAATAACCGTATCAATGACCTCTTGAATCATTTTAAATAAATTTTTTGTGGTTAAGATTACTTTTTACTGTACCTTAAACTGTATTGTAAAATCTAGTGAACTTTCCATTTTTATAGAAACTTTAATGATTTTGAAAGTTAAATCATTTTTTTTTTAAAAATATCAATACTCGCTAAATAGAAAATATTTGAACTTAGTAGGAATCTAACGTGATTCAATAGAAAGTAAGGAAAATTTTTATTAATTACTTATTCATTTTCGTGGATAGTAACAGTCTTTGAAATTCATTGGAGAATGAATTTCTGCTCTGAGTTATTTTTAATGGAGGTATGAGAATTAGAATAGGGAAAGACATTTCCAAAGAACATACTCCTTTTTTGGAAATAGCATATCGTGAGTTTGAACAATGGAAATCAAATGAAAGAAAGGATAATTTAAAACAAATTTGTCTATACTGATGAACAAAATATTTAACAATCAAATGACACGATTTGGAAGTCACACAATTAAAAATATGCCGGATACAATATGCCAGATTAAATTATATCTTATAGCTTTTTAATTGACAGTAGTAACTAGAAAGGAACTTTTAAACTATACTCAGTGTCCTTCAAATTTTTTTACAGTAGGAAAAGTTTAAAAAATATGCTTTTTAAAAGTAAAAGAAAAAGTGCGGTATTACTGTGTTGTGTTTTCGAATTTTTTCTTTTGCACAATTAAAAATTTTTTGCAAGTCAATTAAAATTATTTTTTGCTGTTACACATTGGAAATTTTTATCCAGTTAAACCTAAAATTAATATTTTCGGAAGTTAGTTGGCATTATCAAACACAAATCCACAAAAAAAGAGGACATTTATAACTCTCTGAAATATTTTTGTCAGGAATTTCATTTTTTTTATAGTATAAGTAATATTAGTGAAGTAAAAAATGTTATAGTTTTCATAAAAAAAGGTAAAAGTGTGAGATAACCATCAAAAACTGATTTTTGGCATGTTTTTCTTTTTTTTTCCAAATTGATCTACTTTAACGTGGAGTAATGATTTAATTGAACTTATTCAAGCATGTAAGATTTTTTTTTCTTGTCTGTTCAGGAAGTGGTTCTAATTTTTTTTTCCTTGCCATTGTTGTAGCCATTTAGAAGAAAAAATTTAATTATTGATTTATTTAATGCTTTTTGAAAATTCAATTGCTATAAACTAAGTGATTTTTAAACTTTTTATCCAGTTTAAATATTTCTTATGTATTATCATGTATTCTAAATAAAACCTTCAATCAAAATATTTAAAAATTAAAGAGAAAAGTACTCCCGTTCTAACCAATTGTCGGAGGTTTGGGCCTTGCAGTTTCAAGACCAACGACACGTTGATAACTTTACTTCCCAGTCTTACGTGGAGATGGAACCTCGGTATGGAGATAGAACCCCGGCCAGTAACAATGATATATCAGTATCCTAACCGCTATGTCATCTAGGCTGATTTATATGAGTAGAAGATATAATAACTTAATGATAATGTTTTGAAACTTTTATTATACGAGGCATATATTTTAGTCTACGGCGAAGAGACTAGACGGGTATTAAGTAACGTTAGTTGACTTTTGGATTAGCGTAATTAGGGGTCCGTGAGTAATGTCATTTAGGTTTTTTTCTTTTCGCAGTTTCTTGTATTGCTAAAAATTTAAGTCAAAGCTTTGCTTTACGTAATTTGCATGATTTTTTTACTTGTTCTTTTCAAAACTTTTGCTTTTGTTCGGTTTTTATATTTAAAAAAAAAAAAGACCTAAGATTCGTGTTCTTAATATGCGCACTTTTTATTTTCTGCTATAGTAGAACTACTTATTGAAATCCTAGGTACAATGCAAGCTTTCTTGCAATAATATGGCCTTAAAGTATGAACTAGAGCACTTTATGATATATCAAGGTACAATCTATCGAATAATAATATTTTTAATAATTTTCATTGGAAACTTAAGGGAAAAAACACATTTTAAAATAAATGAATATAAAACACATTGTTTAAAAGGCACAAAATGCCATAAAATTAATGAAATACATATACATATATAATTAATAAAGAAATTAACGAAATAGTTAAATAAATAACACTGGGCAGCTAAGTTATATTGTATTTATACAAATACTTTACTTTCTCTAACTCGGGTGTGAAGATTTCAAATCTGAAAATAGTTTTGATCCTAAAGCTACAGGCTTCTTTTTAAAGGACATTTTTATAAAATAAAATTTTTTCCAAATGCGCAAATTTAAAAGAAATAGCTTTAATTGTGGAAGCGCTCCCAGTGGCGTGCGACGACATTTCCTGGCATGGGTTCCTACTCAATTTAAATCCTCATGATGTGCCCTAACTCCCATAAAAGTTTGTCGCAACTTTGCGTGACTCCCATTATATAAAATTTTGAAACTTGTGCATTTCGACAAAAAACAGACGAAAAATGTCATTTAAAATAACTGTAACATGAAGAGGGAATACGATTGCAGGTTTGAAAAAAAAATACGAAAGTATCTAAGATCTATTAACAAATCTTATGCAACAGAAAGCAAAAAATTGTACCACAGTGTGATTAATAAATAATAATGTTCCAATTTATATTTTATTTAAGAAAAATTGAGTATTTTGCATTCTGAAAATGTTTGATTTTTTACAGGGTGGCATGAAAGCTGTTGTTCTGACTGATTTGTTTCAAGTATTTGTAATTTTTGGTGCCATGCTGGTTGTTGTGATTAAAGGCTCTATTGACTTAGGAGGAATTGATTTTATATGGAATAAAAGTAAAGAAGGCCAAAGAATTGAATTTTTCAAGTAATTGTTTTTGTTTTGTTCTCTTTGGATTGTAATTATGTCATTTAAAAATTTTATTGAATTATGTTATTCAATGTGTTTTACTCTTGGACTGCTATTATTATTATTAACTGCTTTTTTTAAAAAATTTAATGTTCTCACGTAAAAAAGTAAATTACATTTTCATACAACACAATCAGTAAGTAAATTTGGGGAAAAATTTATGAGCATCTGAAAATTTTGCAATCCCGTTTTGGTTTAAATGAGCTATATTTCACTAATACGGTATTTGGTAAGGGTCTTCAACAATTTGTTCTAGAAAACCATGACAATGAATTCGAAAAATCATACGGACTTCATATTTGCTGGATAATATAATTTAGCCAAAAAAATTTGAAATCAAGAGGAGCATAATTTTAGTGTTGGTTACAAAGCCTTTACCATATGAACGAAAAAATTACCAAGTGATTAGTTTAAATACCGGATAATTTACTACTTTTATTAACCAATTTTGTTTTTCTTAAAATTAGATATGTCATTACTATATACAGTACGGTAATTTTACCAAATAATCTTTATCCGTACAAACTAGTAGTTTTTTTGTATCAGACTACACTATCTTTTTTTTTTCAAAAAGTGCACTACTTTTTTTAAAAAAAAATAAAAAATTCATTACATTACAGACTACGAAAAAAAAAAGAAAGTGACTACAGTAATATTGTTACTTGTTGCTCGTTAGTACCGAACTTAGCATTATAGACAAACTTTAAAATATAATTATTTTTTATGATTATAATGAAAGTTACTCTAAACATTACTTTAAAATAGTTTAAGATGCATTACTATAAAGTTTATTCATATTAATAATTTGAATGATTTTACAGTCTTGATGTGGATCCAACTGTGAGACATACAGTCTGGAGTTTGACGATTGGAGGTTACTTTACATGGCTGTCTATATACGGCGTAAGTCAACCCATGGTTCAAAGATATCTGACGATTCCAAATATTCGAGGAGCAAGAATGTAAGTATCATTTGACTTTTACATCTAAATCTTTAATCATGAAGCCGGGATAGCCTGGTTGGTAGGGCACTGGCCCCATATCCAGGAGTTTGTGGTTTCGATCCCCACTGGCAGAAGACTCCCCATGCAGTAAATGATGAATGATGCACTTCAAATCTGTCGAATTGCAAAGTCCTCCATGTTCCCATAACAAAACAATACCTCAGGGAGTACTGATCCAAAACCTTTCTTGTCTTCTGGATTGGTTCAAAATTACAAGGCTACGGAGTTGAACATTAGTAGTCGTAAACCCAAAATTGGGTCTGCTGTTCAACGACGGATGTATATATTTTTTTAGTCATGAGCCGTGGTGGCTCTGGAGATGGAGCGCTCGCCTTCCTATGAGGAACCGGGTTCGAATCCCAGCAATGGCTGGTCGATACGAATTCCGCATTAGACTCGCACCAACCACAGTGCTGATGCAAAATATCCTTAGTGGTAGACGGATCATGGGTTAGAGTTCCTTTTCCATCAGGCTAACCGTGAGAGGTTTTCGTGGTTTTCCCCTCCATGTAACGCAAATGCGGGTAAGCTCCATCAAAAAGTCCTCCACGAAGGCCATTTTCTCCCAGTACTTGACCCAGAAGTTCCCTTGTCTTCTGGATTGTGTTCAAAATTACAAGGTCACAGGGTTAAACATTAGTAGTCGTAAACCCGAAATTGGGTCAGTTGTTCAACCACGGTAATATATACTTTAGTCTTACACAGCTTATTTTCATTGATTTTGTTTTCCGTAGTTTAACACATTTTTGCATATTATCACATAAAATTGAAAACTCTGCAACAACTTATTAAACTCAAAGTAGCATTTAATAATGAAAAGAAAACTATCTTATTTTTAAAACAAAATTAAAGTAGCTCATGGTTTTGTAGCGATAAGCTAATATTATTAAACCTAAATAGGCTGAGCTAAGTCGACATCGCAAATCACTACTCTGATTTTGTATCGCTATCCTGATTTTGTATTTTTGAGTGTATGCTTAGTTCCAAATTTTTGTCAGTGCTTGAATTTGCTTAATTATCGTGATAAAATACCACAAAGGGAAAAAGGGTAGCATTTTGTAACGAAAACTACAAATTACACAAAAAAATCAAATCAATATAATTCAATTTTGTAAAATAACAATGAGAAAAAATCAATGTACTCGTATTAGTAAAGTTAAAGCTTTACTACAAATTTGAAAAGTCATGAGGGAATTATTCTTGATTATATGTCACAGAACATTAAATTAAATTTTATTGTCCAAACTGAAACAATTTAACTTTTCAATATACTTGAAATTCAAATTTTCAGTGCAATATTGTACAAACAAGCTAAAAACGCAAAAGAACCAAATCAAAGTAATTTTTCAAATAAAAATGAGAAAAAATCAATGTATTATTTAAAGTTAAAGCTTTTCTGCAAATTTGCAAAATCATGATTGAACCGTTCTGGATTGTATGAAATAAAACATAAAATTAAATTTTATTGCCAATTTGAACAATTTAATTAGGAAAATATTATTGAAATCCAAAATGTTTTCTGCAACTTTGTAAATACATAATAAAAACGCAATAAAACTAAATCCCAGTAATTTAACTGAAAAAAAAAATCAATGTATTATTTAAAATTAAAGCTTTTCTACAAATTTGTAAAGTCATGATGGAGCAATTCCTGACTATATGAAACAAAATAAAAGTAAGTTTCTTTCTCCAAATTGGAGCAATTTAGTTTTTCAAAAAAATATGGTTGAAATTCTAATTTGTGCAACTTTGTAATTCAAATTAGAAGCGTTTAAAAGTCTACAAAATAAGATATAACAGTTTCCATTGCGCAGGTACAAGATATTTTACTCAGCTCAAAGTATTCGATTAAGGCGTAGCTTTTTTAATAAACGTTCGTCTCAATCCCGTACGTAGACTGAAGTGTTTGTCAGTTAACAGTAATAAAAGCAATGCTTTTGTTTTATTCCTTATGAAGATTAGGAACACAAAAAAAGAGAACAGGTTTTCACGGGTTTCGCTTCATTAAATTTCAAATATAACTTCACGTGACTACGTACGTTACATAAATATGTTAATAGAATTAATAGGAAAGATGAATAAAAAAAGAGCTTACATTTTCCTTTATTTTAAGTCTAAATGGAGATAATGCATGTTAAAAAACAACGAAAGTGTTTCAAATAATAGTGTATTTTTTAATTTAATGTAGCAAAAAAAAATAATCCTTGAATTTTGATGGTTTTATTTTTTTAAAGGAAACTGAATGAAATTTTATCATTCATTAAATAAGACTATTTTCTAAGCTGAACATCAAGGATTCGTCTTACTCTCGTGCTGTATTTCATTTAATTAAATTAATAGATACAAAACAGTTTTTAAAAACAATCAAAGTAAAATAATTTCTTTCTTCTTCATTAAAATGTAATAATTTTCTGCATACTAAATAGGAAAGAATCTGAAAAGTGGTTTTTTAAATGATTTAGTTTAATAGTATGTTTGGTAACCATATATTTGAGTATGTTTTAGAATTTTATTTCATGAAATAATGCTGCCTTATTAGTTATAATTTGTATTTATTGATTATCATCATGACAGGTAAAGGATATTAATGTTCTATAATGATCAAATTCTCATATACTAAAAATCAATCTTAATGCCTAAAATATTAAACTCAAGTATGATAAGTAGTTAATTCTAACTGTTAATTAAGTTACGAGAGATAAGACACAAAAACGTACCTTCTCTGAATAAATTTTATTTTATATTTATTATAAATTTTACTTTATTTTATATTTTGGATCATTATATTATATTTGGATTTATATTTTGGATCATCAAGGTGTGGATGATTGTTGGAATCTGAAAAATACAGTCCCAAAAATTAAATAAGAAGAACGGTTGAAAGTGGGGGGCCCTTAATTTTAATTCCTGTTTTGCTTGTTTTGCAATCTCATCTCAGAAATAAAAAAATAGTTTATCCAAAGAAAAGTTATGTAAAAAATTAATGATTATTTATTACTTTTCATTTTGTATAATTTAATAATAGTAGGAAAACTTCAAAATTTAAGCCATTAAAGTTTTTGCATCAGTTTAATTTATGTAATTTTGTTTGAGTATCTGAACAAAGTTAATCGATTAAAGTTAAAGATTGTAAAATATGTATATTTGCCAGATTTTGCCTTAATATTTTATTATTTAAAGTTAAATAATTTACTGTTGTGTAAATTTTTCTTTTATTAAATAAAAGGAACAAAATTAATAATTATTGAGAATTGTCATTTGCTTGGAATAACATTTGAATTTGCGAATTTAACAATTGCGTGCATTAGTTTTTCGAGTTTGCTTAATAAGTTCTCGAGTTACGGTGAAATAGTAAAAAAAATATATTAGCATAAAGAGGACCATACTTTTGTTCCCTCATCTGGAACAACGGACTATATTTACCAGTTTGCGGTTATTCGGTTATTACTATTATTATTTATTGCGATTTTAATAGTAAAAAAATCAAAATTCGCCGAACAAGTGTAAGTTTATACATAAAAAGTATGTATTTTGTTTCTTATTATGTTCCTTAATTATTAAATAGAAATAATTAACAAATTTAAAGTCAACCTCTTGAACTATTAAGATTGGATTTTTAGTAGTGCGTCATATTCCAATCAGTTAAAGAAACGTTATTCAGGTTGATATATTTTTTTAAGTATTGTGCAAGAGATTTTAAAAATAATATTGATAATTCTCAAAAATTTCAGAAACGCATTGATTAAAATTTATCATTAGAATTAAGTATGAATATTAATAATAAGTTGGAGAGGTGGGAGTGTATTTATTTGTATTATGTGGGGGTAAATATTTGATGCATTAAAAAACACATAAATTAATTCATTAAACAGTTCAAACAATTATCAATAATCAACAGTTCAATTCAATTCAAGTCATTGAATCTAACAGTTCAATTATCAATATTTTGAGTACGCAGTTGACTGACAAAAGCAATAAGATACAATCTTGAATATTTTTTGATCTAATGATCGGATTTTCACGTACCAGGACTCAATCTTAATGATTCAAGGGAATGACCTCAAATGTGTTAATTAATTAGTGCAGACAATGTTTTAAGTCATGAAATCTGAACCAACTTAAATTTGACGGATATCACTCCTGACTCCCAAAATACAGGGAATAGTCACAATCTGGTAATTATGATTCCATCATTTGCACAGAAACGCAGTCGAAAGTTCGAATCCCTTGATGCTAATTTCATTTTTTGCATGTTTCGCCAATAATTTTTTAAGCAAATTGAAAAACCTTTAATCACAATTATAAAATTTGTTTATAACACACACATAATTCTACATTGTTACACATAATTCTAATTGTTACACATAATTCTAATGAAAAAATTATTTTTAATAATTATTTATTACCTTTCATTATTTTATTTAATAATAGTTGGAAGCAAAGTTTTGGAATTTAAAGTATACAAATGTTTGCCTTTTTTAAAGAATTTAATTTTTTATGACAAAATACAAAATTTGAGCGAAATCAGTAGAATAATTCCCGAGAGATAGAATTTTGCAAAAATCAGATATTGCCGCGGTGGCTCAGGGGATAGAGCTTTCGCCTTCCAATGCGGCGAACTGGATCTTTGGTTTGAGTCCCCTTCCCGTCAGGCTGAGCGTGGGAGGTTCTCGTGGTCTTCCTCTCCATGTAACGCAAATGCGGGTTAGTTCCATCAAAAAGATCTCCACGAAGGCAAATTTCTCCCAATACTCAATCCAGGCGTTCCATTGTCTTCTGGATTGGGTTAAAAATTACAAGGCTACGGAGTTGAACATTAGTAGTCGTAAACCCATAAAATAGGGTCGGCTGTTCAACGATGGTTATAAAATAAAATAAAATAAGAAGTCAGATATTATTAAAAAGATAGTTTAAATCTATTGTTTGTGTTTTTCTTAAATTAAACTTGGATAAGAAGATTCTTTTTTCGACTCTGATTTTACAAACATGATGCCGTTTTTCTTTTCTTTCTTAAATTTCATTTTCCTTGACGAAATGTAAATTTAATAAAAATTTTCTATAATCACATTCAAAACAATAGAATATAGATTTTATTCAAACCTTGTAAAGAACGAGAAAAAACGCAGAAGAGAATCTGTTGAATTGAAGAACACGTGTCGTAATAATAACTCTTTATGCTAACAGTTCCATTGTCTAAACGCAATATGAAGTACTTTGCTTTCGTTTTATGTAATGTTAGGTCATGCTTTTTTTAGTCAAAATTAAGTAACAATCAGCAATGAAGAAAAGAATTCATGGTCAATGCTTTTCCTACATGACTCTTACAGATGCTTCAGACATTTTTTTAGGTAGTTCAATTAGTTTGTTTTTATTTACTTAAAATTTCGTAATTTCAATTCCTTCACATATTATATAGCTACTAATAAATAATGAATACGTACGCACACAGATATTACATATATAGATATAGATAGAAAGATAGATATATAGATACTTAATAATACTTAATATCATATTTAATAAATATTTAAATGTGATAATGAGAAATAACAAAATTACAAATTTACTAAAAATATAAAAAAAATTATACAAAAAAATTATTTGAAGCAAAATTAGTTTTTTTTTTAATGTCAACATTACATGAACATTAAAAAAAGCTAAATATTTTAAAAAAGATATTTTTATTAGGCAAATATCGATTATTTTTATTATAAATACCTTTTGTACGTACAGAAGTGCAAACAGTATTTCACCCGGAAAATATATCGAACGTAGCGTAAGTACTTGTTTTATCGTGGAGAGTATAATTTCTGTTTTTTAATCTTTAATTTTATTTAACTTTTTAATTTTTCATTAAAATTGGTTGAAAATAAGTTAAGTTGGTTGAAGTTGCTTTGTTTGACATGCGTTTGATACTTTTTTACTTGTGGAAAAATTCTCGAGAAATACAATCTCTTATTTAAAATTCTTTTCAGAGCAATATGGTTGAATTTACCAGGATTGGCAACAATTGTTACAGTTACTACTTTAGCAGGATTACTTATTTATGCTAAATATTTTGATTGTGATCCTATTAAAACCAAGCAAGTTAGTGCTCCAGATCAAGTGAGTTAATTTTTAAACAACTCTTAAAATGTCGCATGTAAAATTAATAGAAATGTGTGTGTGGTTTTTTCCTTTTTTTTTTTTTCCTTTTCATGTTGTCTCATATTTTTCTTTTAAGTACCCTTTCAGCTGAAAATATATCGACATTTTCTTTCTAAAAAAGAAACAAATTATTTCGAATAATAAAACTCTATTAATACTTGTTCAGAACACGAAGATCGACTAATTTTAACTTCTAGTACATAACTATAGCAACAAGTAGAATGACAACAAGTAGAATGAGATGGGCCGTGCATGTAGTGAGAATGAGCCCAGAACGAACAGCATTGAGAGTCTCTAATGCAACCCCCTCCAATAAAAGGCCAAGAGGAAGGCCCAAAAAGAGATGGAAGGACTGTGCAGATGAGGATTTTGCCATCCTAAAAGTAAAGAACTGGAAAACAATTGCTGGGAGAAGGGCAGAATGGGAAAAGCTTCTGAGGAAGGCCCAGGCTCACAAAGGGCTGTCATGCCAATGCTGATGATAATGACATAACTACGTACAGGGTGCTCCGGATTCTCAGCTATTATTATGTAATATTAGAGCCCTAGTTAAGAAAGAATAGTCATATGTTGTGAATTAATATATAAGCAGAAAAAACGTTTCTAAATTCTGACAAATCACTATTAAGAAACGTGGGATTGAAATATCAAAATTGATATTAGTTTTAAAGACTAAAAATGTCTCCCATCGCTATTTTAGGCAATCAAATTTGTTTGGAATTTTTTAATCTTTTCTTTCACATTTAAACTGAGTTTACGTTGTTGCGATTATTCTTTTTTATTCGCTGAAAAATAAATTTACGACATCTAATGTGTACATTGTTTTGATTTCTTATTTGACAAGGATTCTAAAAATATATAATAAAGGTGAAATTACGGAAGACCTTGTATTCTCAGAGCTGTAATTTAATTTTAGTTTTGCTAGTTAAAGGCTGATTTTTATTGGATGAATTTTCTAAAATTACTAAAACGTCACCGGTGGCTAATTTACAATCCAAGGGCTCGCTCTCTTTTTTGGAGTTTTTCCTCTTAGCGAAAGTTGATCGCAATTATATTGCAAGCTTTTCTTTCTTTTAAAATTTTTACCTGAGCTGAACACATTGTGTTTCTTAAAGGTTCACAATTTTCTTTTTATATTACAATGTATTTAAAAATGCATTAAGTCTCTCCTATTCTTTTATTTTTTTATTTTTTTACAGTCATTTTAATATCACGGTAATTTTGATATTTCTTTTTTTTTTTTTTTTTGCTACAATGTTGGAAAATTTGCATAACTTTTAGGGGTTTGTCCAAAATTCCTATGATAGGCCTTATTTTTATGAATTTATGAAAAACATAGTAATTCTAATGATTAAATGACTTGTGAAGTGTCCTTTAGCGGATTAAATTTCTCCTTAACGAACTTACTTCCTTGCTAAACTTTAATTACGTTTGTGATTTTTTGTAAAAAAAATGTCTCGCTTTGCAGGACTTACTGTATGCATCTTCAGAAACTTTTTATTATTTATGGTACACATTTGAAACCTTTTTTTCCTAATTTTAAAATCATTTTTTGTTTTCGAAAACATTTCTTAAATTACAAATTTGTATGCCAAAGTTCAAATTGTTTGAATTTCGAAAAAAAGAATCTTGATTAAGAATTCTGGAAGATAATAAAAAATTGAAATATCGATTTAGCTGTTTCTCGAGAAAATGACCCTATCATCGTTATGTAACTAAATCAGTTGCAAAAGTTAACCTGTGTTTATACAAATCAGGAATTTTTTTCTTCATTTTTGCCTGGAACTGGAAAATTTTGTAGTCAGAGTCTGATATATTTTGGAAAGCCATATTGAAAGCGTTTAAAATTTATATTTATTTTTTTGCAAAACTTGCACAGAATATAATTTACAGAAGGAATTAAAACATCAATACCTTTTTAAACAACAACAGATTTGAATTCAATAGGACATTCTTTAACAAGACTCCTCATATCTCATATATGTAGGCGAGTAAATTGTTTTAAAATGTTGAATTTGAAGCTCATCAAATTTTTTTGACAACGTTGCGGATAACATATTATGCAGAAGTTTAAAAAGATCTCACGTGTTACTGAGATAAAAGTAGTGCAAAATTATTTTATTCCTCCTTCATTAAAAACTAAACAATGGATCCTTGCGAAATCTTAACAGAAGATGTTACATACATAACGAAGCATTCAAATTAGCTGCACTGAATTTAAATTATACGACCTGATTTCAAATGTTCTAAATGTTTACTATGTGGTGATAGCGTTTGTTCCATTCTGTGGCCTAAAATCGAGTTACCTATTTATTTCTAGGAAAATTGAAACTCGTTATTATTATACTCCTTATTTACTAAAATATTATCTACTTGAATTTTTTTCGCAATTTTTATTAAGAATGCGACTGATTTCCTCTTGGTTTATAATGGCTGTTTCTTTTTATTGAATTTATCTAAACCTGTTTCACTGTTATTGTAAAGTCAGGATAAACATTGTCCGTATCAGTTTTCTTTACAGTCATGATAAATGCTCGTATTATCGATCAACATTCAAGCTAAAATTGGAACTTAGTCACTACGCGTGCAGTATTGTTTGCAATCATGAAAAAAAAAGTCACCAAAAGAGAAGTCTCCACAAAAGTCACCAAACTTTTTGTCAAAATTAAAACATGTTTATTATAAAACTAGACGAGATTTGACGAAGTTCATCTCATACAACAAAAGAAGCACAATCAAAGGAAAAGTTTTGTAGAACAGCAAGTACAAGTTACCACAGAAATGGCAGCTGCTTATTCAGGAGCAACTCAATATTGCTCCTGAAAGTGACAAAAAACTCTAAGAAATTGTTATATTTTTACTATCGCTGGCATCCATCTATCTTCAGAAAACTTCAGTAACCTCACCTGTTGCATAACACCCCATTCTAAGGTATATAAGAAATTTCACAAGCGATTGGACATTTTATGAGCGAGAAAGTAAGGAGGTAGTTAGTTTTACATTTTCTCAAAAAGACGGAAAAAAAAACAAGATGAAATGTTCTTTCTATGTGTTTTTTTTTCTTTGTCTTTTCAAGATAAGTAGCAGATCTGTTACAATGACAATTAGCAGTATTAACTAAATCACATTGTTAAGTATCCCTTACAATTCCAATAGATATAAAATAAAACAAAAAAATATACTTAAAAAAGCATGCAAATGTGTTACTTTCATTTTCTTTTAGCTCTTGCCCCTCTTTGTGATGGATGCTTTAGGCACAATGCCTTGTTTGCCAGGAGTTTTTGTTGCAGGCATATTTAGTGGAGCTATCAGGTAGGCTCTTAATACTTTTACTAATTTAATTCTCTTGAATTTTAAGTAACTTACAATTTTTTTCGTAGTTAATTAGAGAAATTTGTTGTAAAGCATTTAACATGAGAATTCATGCTAACACCATATGCATGAAAAAAAATAAAAGACAGAAATAAAAATTAAAAGAATAATTGTTGTTTTTCACTTTTTGCAAACTTCTCAAATTCATAAAATATAAACTTTTAAAATAAGTGCTTTATAACTTTTACGAAGTAAAAGAATAATAATCAAGCTTTAACAGCGGTGATCTAACGTAAAACATACATTCATTTATCTTGTTTGCACATGTTTTTAGAAATTTTATTCTCAAATAAAAACTAAAAGGAATTTTTCTAATTTGAAATAAATTTACATAGAACTATTAGAACTTTTCATAAAATATTGAGAAAGAGAAAATAAACATCTTTATAAATCTACATTAAAAATATTGTCTGGCAGCTACTGTCTTAGGTTTATAATTAATTTTATTTTCTTGGAAAAAATCTATCTACAAAATTGCTAATTAAATAATTATATGAGTTTAAGTAGGATGATAATTTTTCTATTTCATACTTTATTTTATTCATTCTTTTTTGCAATTAAACTAGCATTTTCAAAAAGCTATGACATATTTTGCAAGATTTAAACTGTTGGCGCCGATTGGACACCGGTAAATATTTGTTTGAGGAGCTCTAATTACCAGTAAAAATACATGTTGATATCTTTTGATTGTAAAAAAAAAACAGTCTAAAAGTTAAAAAAATCTGTTAGATTATCGAAATTATATTTGTACTAAAATTTAAAATCCAAAAAAAATTAATTTGAAATTTTTTTCATTCATATTCAAAAATTTATCAGTAATTGATTTTGTAAATTAATTTCAATTATTAATTATTGTTTCTCTTAGATCTAAGTAACTGCAAATAATTGCAAACTATAAATATCATTATTGTGAAGTGAGCTGTGTTTGGAAGATTTTACATTTCAAGAAGAAAGAAACACCGGTATCCCATACTGTATTTCATAATCATAAATTATTAAAGTGCTAAATAAAGTATTTACCAATTATTTTGTCCTAAATTAATACAAAATAATGAAGAAAGTATGAAAAGTACGTTTAATGAAAATTCTGCGTAGGTTAAATGACAAATTTATTTACCTACTTCCTTTTTAAAGATTATTTATGATATTTCCTTTTAAGCAAAATGCGTACGTAGAAATGTAAGTTTTTTTTTAAACTTTATCAAAAATTATAAATAATTTGAATTACTCGATGTCCAACTATCTCTTTAGCACTGTTTCATCTGGCGTGAATTCTTTGGCGGCTGTTACTTTAGAAGACATTGTGAAATCATACATAAAACCGGATATCTCTGAAAAGTGGGCTACAAGGTTTGCAAAAATTTTAGGTAAGCAAGATGAGTAACATTATTAATTAAACACTAAACTTTTAATCATTAAAACATTTATTGTATATTGTATTAACTTTAATTTTTATTCATGCCTTTCGTATGAATTTATAATTTTTTAAGTTAGGTCAAGAGGCCCATTCTTCGTAACCGCAATCAATTGTGCTAAGAGTGTAGATGTGAGAGTTTAATGGTATATTATCTCGTCATTTATTTTTCACCGATGCACTTTTATTTTACTTTATAATCTGCATTGAACAGCCGACCTAATTCTGAGTTTACAACTATCGAAGTTCAACTCCGTAGCCCGGGCTCAAGTTGTGGTAGAAATTAGCCTTCGTGGAGGACTTTTCATTGAATTAGCCCACATTTGCGTTAAAGGAAGAGGAAAACCTCTCACAGTTAGCCCGACGGCATGGCAATTCTAATCCATGATCCATCTACCGCAGAGGATATTTTACGTGAGCAATGTGGTTGGTGTGAGCTTGACGCAAAATTCATATTGACCAGCCATGGCAGGGATTCGGACCTGGGTCATCTCATTGGGAGGCAAGTGATCCCGAGTGAGTCCCCTGAGCTACCGCGGCTCTCACAGATATATTTTAATTTTATTTTATATCCAGCATTGAACAGCCAACCCGATTCTGGATTTACGAGTATCAATGTTCAACTTGGTACCCTTGTAATTTTTACCTAACCCAGAAGACAAGGGAACTCCTATTAGGACAAACTAGCCTCGCGGAGGACTTTTTGATGGAAATAACCTTCACTTGCTTTACATGGTGAGAAAAACTACGAAAACCTCTCACGGTTAGCCCGATGGTAAGGGAAAACATTTGAGACTTGAGACTATTGATTGAACATTTGAGACATTTGAGGTACATTTGAAACTATTAAGTTTACTTGGTAGTATTTTTTTCAAAATGTAAATTACAAGGTCATTGGCTAGTCAGAGTCCAATATTTCAGAATTTTAACAGATTTTTGTGAGAAAATTGTACTAATGCAATTCTGTAATTGGCAGTTTTGGAAAGGTACGTCAATTTTAATTGCGCATTCAATGTTTAGATTTGGGAAAAACATTTTAATTTTTTGCGTAGCTCACGTAAAAAAGTTTTTTTTTACTTAGCTCTTCAGATTTTACTAATTTAAAACTTAATAAGAACAAATTTTTATTACTATGAACCCAAGCAAATAAGTAGTATTAAATTATTGATCTAAAATCATTAGGAGCATATTTTATTTCCTAAAATTTTTGGCACAAATTTCTTTAGAAATGTTAAAAGTTACCAATAAGTGTTACCTTTCTAATTCTAAGAAAAGTCCTCATTTCTTATATTATGAAAACTCTGCAAGAAAAGCACAGGTTTTTTTCAATATTCTAATTAAGTTTTTAAAATTTAAAATTTTTACCTAGTAAAATTGTATTTTTTATATAATTATGCAAATATATATATTTTCTTAATTTGCGCAATTTTATATTTTATAGCTCTTTCTTATGGAGCGGCATGCATTATTTTAGTTGCTGTTGTAGAGAGACTTGGAGCCATTCTTCAAGTAATTATGATTTGTATTTATTTTTATGCAATATTTTTATTTATTATGTTTAAGAAATACCAAGCTTCAATAGTTTATTTTTAAAAAAAAATCCTACTTTTGCAGCTCTCATTAAGTGTTTTTGGAGTTATAGGAGGACCTATTCTTGGAGTTTTTATGCTTGGCATGTTTTTTCCATGGGCAAATATAAAAGTATGTATGGTAAAAATCAATACTTTTATAATATTTGGCATTCCTGACATGAAGCATTGCAAAATAAATAATTTTATGTATAAGTGTTTTCAAAGTTTGCTTATAGATGGCAGCACTACTTTTAGAATGTAATAATAGCATTAGATGGAACAACTTTATAATTTTATTATCGTTTTGAAAAACAGTTTCTAAGCCCGCACTAGTTAATCAAATTTTTTGTAAATTTTTATTATTATTTCTAAGCCAAAATAAGTAAAATAAAACACATAGGAATAATTTTATATATTTTTTGCTTTGTTTATTAGTAACCAAAAACTATGGGGGTTAGTGGGAGGTTAAGAAATTGTGAAAAAAAGCAACTTTTCCAAAAATTTGCCAAAAAGATTTTATTTTTCTAATCATAAACATACTAAAAATTACTATAGTTTCTTTTACCATAATTTTTAAAATCATATGCATAATAATAATAAAACAGTATCCTAATAAATTTGTGTTTCCTTCGAATTTCCTATTAATATTATTTTTATATAATTTACCTGTAAATTTCTAATAAACCAGAAATCAGTTTTTCTAATCAGATTCTTTAAAAACAAAATATATTTAAATTCCTTTTCAAACTTTTAATCCTTTAATGCTTCTTACAAGATGTAATTATTTTTTATAATATTTTTTTCTTTAACCAATCACAGAAATAAAATATTTTTTTTTCCTTCAATAATTTCAGGGTGCAATGACAGGCCTTTTGACAGGACTTATTGCAGTATTATGGATTGCAGTTGGCGCATTTCTGAACAAGCCACCTAAGAATTTTGCGCCATTTTCGGTTGAAGGGTGCACAGAATTGTATTATAATGCTACTGGTAACATGTGGAACGAAACTATTACTACAACTGTACAACAACTGCCAAACAAGTACTTAGAATTTTACTGCTCATATTTTCCTTTATTTGAAATTGCAACAAAAAAAAAGTTAACGTTTCTTAGACTTGGTTTAAAATTGAGAGAATGTTTTAACCGATTCAATCTAAATCAAATTTAATACAATGGAAAAATTATGAAAGAAGTATATTATACGCAGAGAAATTATTGAAAAAGGGTTATCGATAGCTATCACTACTCTAAAAAATACAGCTACGAATTTAATTCAATTTTACAGACATTAAGTCCATCCTATGAAAAACCGCATGCTCAAACTATTTTTTAACTAAATTATTCTCTTAAATATTTTTTAGCAATTCTTGCTGAGAAAATAAAATTAACTTCACGAAGAAATCAAAATATATGTGATGTCAGTGTTTAATGCGGTAAATGACTTCTAAATTTGGAGGTACTCACGTTTTTTAAAGGGTTACATTTTTTTAATGAAAGTTGTTTTGACTTGCAAGATCGAACACGATTGGCTGCCAAATCAGGGGGGTTTTCATTCGTTATATTGTTAATAATAGAAATAATACTCAAAACATCCGACTTTATATGACGCACTATGTATGATTATTTTTTAACATCTTTTTAAAGTTAACCTGTATCTGCATTTTTAAATATTTATGGCATACATATGATTTAACACTAAACATATCAACACTTAATGTATACCTATTTCTACCATAGCCAGTCAAACGACCGGACTTTATGTTTCTTGATTGAATGTATGAAATATGGATGTTATAAAGGAAATAAACTAAAAAAAACTTTATTATAATTAAACAAAATAGTATATTGCCAATTTTTATGTATTACAAACACAAAGAATAAGAATTTTTAATTCATCACTCAACGCAATTTTTACAAATATAGTGTGTTTCCATTGTGCATTTTCCTCAAACATATTTCGTCCAATTATAATTATTTCTATAATTCCTATAATTATTCTTATAATTATAAGAACATATAAGAATTATAATTCTCTTAATTATTCGTGTAATTAGTATTATTTCTTCTAATAACTTGTGTTGTCTTGATTGTTTTGACTGTTAACAGTTGATTGTTAACAGTTAGTTAGAAATGAAGTAAAGCTATCAAAATAAAATATAAGCTACTTACAAAAACATTGAGTTTTTGTCACATTTTCTTACACAAAAATGCCAATCTAAAATTTTTGGTACTTTTTTGAAATTTTTTTAATTTTTTTATTTTTTATTTAAACGACTTAAAACTCCTCATGCACCACAAAGTATAGCATGAGGATTGCAGTTGTAAGTAGAAAACAAAAAGAAGAAAAATTTACAAATTTACATTAAAAACAAAATTCCGCAAGGCCGCAAGACTTTCAATACTTTTGACCAGTTCTGATAAGACAGGTGGCCAACAAATAGAAAGACGTCTCAAATCAGTCTTAAAATTCATTCGGGCACTCGCATACAGACTACAATGAAGAAGAATATGTTCAGCATCTTCATCAGCATCGCCGCAAGCACAAATTCCACTGGTCTGCAGATGGAAACGAAATAAATATCTCTTAAAATTTCCATGGTTTGTCAAAATTTGGGTCAATTTAAAATCAGTTGCAAAGAATTTACATTGTAAACGGTGAAAAATGGATGGAAAGAACCTTTTCGTCCAAAGCGACCTAGGCGAAGCAAGAAATTCAGCATTCCAGTCCGCAATGATTTTATCTCTAGCGGTGCGCTTCCAGTGAGAAGCTGGAACAGACCAGGGCTAAAGAGAATACAAGGGATAGTTCACTCCGCTCTTAGAGCTGAAGCTACGATTTCCCTCCTCATGACGTCACTGTGTCTACAGATCTCGGAGATCGCAAGCAAAGATATGATAACTTTGCATCTTTCTCTTGTTATAATAAGTTAGACTTTTTCTGGTTATTAGCCTTCAAACTTTACGTAATTAACACATTATTTCCGTTCTTAAACATAGTTCAAAAAAAACTTTCTTGGTTATTATATTAAAAAAATACCATTTTAAACTTATAAAAATGTTTTGCTAGTTGGTGAAAATGACACGATAAATACTTTATTTTAAAAAGTTCAGTTTTAACTTTAACTATTAAGAAAAATGAAGGCATATATCGACACTTTTTTTATCTACATATTCTTTTATAA